TATGTGACTGAACCGATGGTGAAAATCCTGATTGATCCACATGTGGAGAGCCAAATTTGCCTCCATATGGCATTTGTCGCAAAACATTGTTCATCTGAAGCAAAAGAAAAAGATGTTTACCTGCAACTATTCCTAGATATCAAAGCTAATTATATATTTCAGTCACAATTAACAAAACAGCCTAGACTAGTGGCAGTAAACTATGCCATAGTGGGCTGTTTGTTATTAAAAGCTCTAAAAGATTCATTATTATTGGCCTGGATGGATTTTAAGTTAAATGCAATATACAATCAATCTCTCTGTTCATCTGAATGTATAAAGATACTTGCACAAAAATACTACCCCTTGCTCCCCTTGCTCTGAAGAACGTAACTTAGAAAAGTTCATACAAAAGAATTGTAATACAAATCACTATGTAATGATCACATAAAAAACTGAAAGCTCAGCATCACTAGGAAAAGATTCACAAAGGTATCCTATGATCTGCTTATTAAAAGAATGAAGTACTTTAAGGAAAATATTTCAAAGGGCAGCTATGCCAAGGAAAGAAAACTGCTGACAAAAATAAAAGGACAGCACAAAACGGTGTTAAAAGAACACCAAGTAATTCTGGCTGAAAGAGGTTACAGATCTTAGAAACAATAGTAATATCAAGGCTAGAAGAGTTTATTAGAATCAGATAATGGGATTTCCTCATTACTAACCTAACAAAGTCTTGACAACTTGTAAACAATGGAAAGTATAAGTGCAGTCAAAAGACAGAATAGGGTTGATAATATTACTTTGGATAGAAGCATGATAACTTATTAGGCCAGTGGTTTCCAAATTCTGCTTGTGCATAAGTATTATTTTGCAAACCAGTACACTGTAAAAGTCCAGGGACCAGAGGCCTAGATTGTGATTTGGGCAAAATAAATTTTAAAAAAAATTAATGAGGGCCAGCAAGATAGCTCAGCCAACTAAGCTCCTGTTTAGGCAAGTGCAGGGACTGGGGTTCAATCCCCAGCACCGCATGCCACACAGGCCCCACCTTGGGTACACCAAGCCAGCCACCAAGACCAGATGTGGTAGCACACGTTTATAATCCCAGCACTGGGGAGGCTGAAAAGAGGAGGATCACTATGAGTCCAAGCTGTGTAGTGTGAAACTCTGTAGCAAACACATTATTAAAAAATAATTAATTAATGTTAAAGAACTATGGAAGATTAAAAAAGAAAAAAGGATGTGGTAAATGAGTGTAAATAAAACTTAAATAGCTAAGAGCCAATTATGGTGGGGCATGTCTGTAATCTTGGCACAATGGTAAGCTGAGGCAAGATTTGGAGTTCCAGACCAGCCTAACCAACTCACCTTGTAGTGATGTTACAAAAAGTGATCAAAAAGTGAAGGAGCTGGTCTAGGAAACTCAAGCATATTAACATATTAAATTTATGCTAAATTTATGATTCAGATAGGTAAAGTTTCAGAAACTAATGTTCAAATATTTATATATATATGCAGTAAATACTACTGAGGAAAAATATACATGTAAAATGAAGTTTCCTAGTTATCTTGTCTTCTATCCATACACATCAGCCCAATAAAAACAAAGTATTATCCTATCTATAAAGGTCAGTCTAACAAAACTTTGAGACGTTAAATTTGCAGGCATGGTGGCATACACCAATAACTCCTACTACTCAGTAAATCCTGCCTTAGGTGGTTGAGGCAGGATTCCAAGTTCAAAGCCATTCTAGGCAACTTAGACCTTACCTCAAGATAGAAGTTTTTAAAAATGGACGTATGTAGTGGTAGTATCCCCAGTTTCGATCCCAAGTACCTCCAACCCCAGAAATAAAATTTCCAAATGAACAAAATTAAAATCAGCTATACAATATAACATGAATATTTTAAGAATGACTGTATTTTAACACGTGAGGTTGTAAAAGCATTAGCCTACCACTGCTTGTCTCTGGTAATTTTCTGGAGAAGAAAATGATCTCTGAATTATCTGTGATGATGGTGACATGCTATCCACAGACCTTTCATATCTGCTAAAAAGAAAACATATAACCATTCAACAGATATTTATTAAACTCTAATGATCAACAAAACATTTCTCAAAGTTGAAAATTAGTAAGATAGATGGGAAGGTCTGTTCTAAAGCAAGGATAAGAACACAAACATAATTTCACATGATTATTAAGTTATACAATGTACAAGTAAAAGATCCAGGGGAGGTGAAAAATAAGGTTCTATTTTAGTAAAGGACAATCTGGCTAGGAAAGAAACATATGAAGTAAAAGCTGACTAGTAAACTGACCTGGAGGCCAAACATTCTCAGCTGAGGGAAGGGCTAGTGTAAGGATGCGCAAACTACAGTGGGCCAAATAGTTTTGTAAAACAAAGTTTCTACTGGAACATTACAAGCTCTTTTCTTTATGGCTAATCTTAATCACCTGACCCTTCATAGAAAAACTTACAAATCTCTGAGCTAATGCACAGGACCAGACTGAAAACTAAAATGGAAAGGATTCCATAGACTAGTTATGAAGGACAAAGAAAGCATAATAGAGAGAGAAGATTTAGATTTATTTTGAGAAACTAGTTAGACATGTACTAATACATGAAAAGAGAATAGGTTCTGGTAACAACCAATTATTTCTTACAGTTTTGATTAAAGATCCAGTGGAGATAAGAAAAGTAGAGGTTCTCTACTTTAATACTTAATCATAATTTATACTATAAGTAGTGTTAAAATTTTGATTGAAACTATTTACCTGTATATTTCCCCCCAATAAATTATAAGGTGGGAAAGTAGTGCTTCTGTATAAGCACTTGCTCATATAATCCCCCTCTCCACTGTCCCTTCACGGTCTTACAATTATCTCCAGCTCTTGCCTTCTCCTTAGTTCAAATCACCAACTTTGTTCAGGTAACTTTCGCGCTATGCTACTTCTACTACCAACACCTTGCCACCATCAGTTTCCCACATGGCTTATTTTTACTCTTGTCCCTTCTAAGTTATTCTTTCATTACAACCAAACATCTCTTTAAAATATAAACTTCCTTTCAATAGACCAGCAGAAACAGCAGTGTAATTATCCAAACTATACTATGTACACACACACATTTCCTTTACCTCCTTCTTTCCTTTTTCCTTTCCCTCTCCCCAGTTGCTCCTTCCCTTGCAACATTTTCTTTCAGTTTCACAGTATCCACTGTACCTTTCAGATCCTGCATTCTGCTGGTCTGTTGAAAGGAGCAACTAATGCTTACTTTTCTTTTTCTCCTTTGTAATTTTTTACCATTTTTTGACCAATTTTACAGGCTTATCTGGTTATCTGAACAATTAATCTGAGCAACAATAAGCAATATAACAATCATCGTTGAATTGCTATCATTTTGTTTAGTGAAATTCTTCGTTTCTATTTTTTTTACTAGTTTTTACATTCTCTTTAAAAAATGAAGAAAATTAAAACAAAATTCAAACTTCCCACCACCAACCTACTCAAAACATTTTAACGCCTTCCTACTGTTTTTAGGATAAAATTCCCGCAATCTCAAGTACAGCCTATTCTGAAAGAGACCATCATCCAGGCTCTACCAAAATCACTACTAGCTACACAGGCATCTTTTAGTTCCTCATCTATAACATCTACCATCAAAATTTTGTCAAAGCACTTTCTTCTAGTTCACTGCAAAACTAATTATAGTTCTAAAGACACTGTAAGCAGAGTGTCATAAAATATATACCTAACATATATCTTAATCTAGATTTAAAGCTACACGTGGCAATATATCAATACCAAGGCTAGATCACACTGCTTACATTTGGATCCCAGCACATTGAAAAATGTTCAACATTACTAGCCATTAGATAAGTCTAAATCACAAAAGAAATTACATCTTACTCCAGGAAGAATGGCTATCATCAAGAATCAAAAAAAAAAAAAGAATCAAATAACAAGCACAGGCAAGTCAGGAGTGTTTATGGGATTCTACTTTGCTAGTAGAAATGTACGCTAGTACAATCGTACAATGATTATGGAGACTCCTCAAAAAACTAAAACTAGAAATTTCATTTGACCTGGCTATCCCTCTTCTAAGTATCTTTCCAAAAGAGTTAGACATACTCCAGTGTTACACGAACACCTAAATTTACAACCCAAAAGAGGGCCGGCCAAATAGCTCAGCAGATTAAAGCACCTGCAAGCAGGCCCAGGGGCCCAGGGTTTGATCGCCAGGCCTGCCGTGCCAGCCCTGCCCCTGGGGTGTGCTGAGATGACAATTGAGACTGGGCGTGGTGGCGTGCACCTGTAACTCCAGCTCTTGGGAGGCTGTACACAAGCAGATCACTACGAGTAGGATCTTAATAGTGAGACCCTGAAAACCCTGTAGACCCCTAAAAATACAAAAAAAAATAAATTTACAATTCATAAAAGCTAAATTCTGGAAGTAGCCTATATGTCCATAAACAGATAAACAGATAAAGAAAATGTATTTATACACAATAGAACACTGTTTAGCCACATATAGGGTAACTTCAGTCACCTGTAGAAAAGTGGATATAACCTGAGACCATATTAAATGAAATAAATCAGACACAAAAACATCTCAAGGTTTCTCTTACATGGAAAACCCAAAAACATACTTTAATGAGGAAAATAAAAGACAATACAAAATAGGAAGTCAGACAGCCTACCACTGGGCAGGGAATGAGAAGACAGGAGTACAGAGGAAGGGAAGTCAGAGGAAAGGAAAAAGAATCAGGATGTGCCACACACACTGAAGGTAACCAATATGTACAGCAAATACATACTGATAAACATTAAAAAATTAAAATTACCTGCTAGGAGACGTAGATGTAGGGCTTGAATTTCCAACATGATGCTGGGGATATAAGCTGACATCCTGTGAGGCATGACTACTTCCTAAAATAATTTCAAGAATTCAAATAGAAAACTTAATTTCAAAGTATTTCTCCACACCCCAAAGGGGTAATTACAGTTTAAAATTAAAAATTTCAAGTTACTATAAACTTCTTTACAGTTTTAAAAGTATGTAATACCAGACAGCAAAACAAAGCATTCCAAACAGGGCAACTTCTTGTGTAAGCATGCAGCCTAGCCATATTCCAGACCTCTCACTAAACTGTAAGACAGAATACACAGAAAGTTTCACCCTTACAGGATCAAGAATTGAAATGTGAGAAAGTAACTTACAAAGCAGCCAGAATAAGCACTTTCAGAAAATAACACATACTCCTTTAAAAAGCATGAATCCAAACTCAAATGCCTTTAATAAAGCTTGTCATTTATTTTCAGTGAACCATATTGAAATTTTTAAGTTTTAAATTTTAAATTATCAAAATCCATGTGTCAATGTAACCCATTTTGAGAGATTAAGTCTATTTTTTAAGGCTAAGTATTTTACCCAGAAAATGGCTGCTTAAAACTGAATAATAAATTTAAAAACAAAAAGCATAGTAGCAAACAACCCTTCTCCCCCTATCATGGAAGAGTTACCTGATCTAAACTGAATTTTGATGGGCCTTCCAAAAAGTTTGATTCCATTAAGTAGATTCATTGCATAAGGAACAGATACTTCATGTTTAAAATTCACAAACGCAAATTGCTTTGGTTTACCATCCTTATCTTTTGGAATTTTCACCTTTATTACTGGCCCAGCCTACAAAAAAGTGTTGAGAATTTAAATAAGGCAATGTCAAAGAAACACTAAAATTTCACAAGTAAAAAGAGAACACAAAGCTTAAAAACAGACGCATAATCAAAAACTGAAAAGAAAACGGCTTTTTACTTTGGTCAGACTGAAAATCTTAAATGAACTTATTTGAAGAAACGGGCCAATAGGGGCTAAAAACGCACTCAGCGAAGTGACTTTTCACACCATATAACTTTAAAAGGTGACCAACAGGTAGCATTTTCCCACTGCATGGGAAAAGAGAAACGACAGTACATGAAAGTGATTTTCTCACACTAAAAATTCCTTCTGCATCGATGAATCATACATAACCAGTGATGGGGGTGACTGGGTTGGGAGCACAGGGGTGCTTAGGAGAACTTTTCACGCCTTTTAATACAGAACACTACTAAGCTGCTTTTCTACGTGGCATTTGTGGTTCTCAAGCTATGGTAATAATAATGCAACTCCGTAACTGATTCAGGCGCTAGCAGACACAGAAAGCGAACCAAAGACAAGCGACCCTTAAAAAGCCGGAGACAGGCACGCCCCGAGCCTGCGCCCGAACCCGCCCGCCACAACGCCCGCCGGCGGCTTCCTCCGCTGCCTCTCGCCTTCTCTCGGACGGCTCCACCTGCGTGCGGTGGATAATAAAGCGACACCCGGCGAGCGAGCGCCGCGTTCCCGCCGCCCCGGGGCGCCTCCGTCCCCAGCCAGCCCACGCGCGGGGTTGCTGACCGCCACGCTCCGGCCGGGACCGCGGGCTGGCCGTGGGGCCCTAGCAACCAGGGCCACCGAAGGCCACGGGGCTGACCCCACCCGCCACTCACCTGGTGGAAAAGCTCAAAAAGCAGCTCCTCGGTCACTTTCGTTTCGAGGTTGCCCACAAAGAGAGTGCGGTCCGCCTCCGCAGCCGCAGCCCCCATCTCAACGTCTCCCCCTCCCCACCCAGGCGGAAGGGTCGCGGGCGACAGAGCGTCTGAGCAAACTCGAAAACCCCACGTCCCGGCGCGCCGGCGTCCTGACGTAAACGCCCTGACGTAAACGTCCGTCACGCCCGATTGCGGGCGGTGTGGGCGTGCGCGCGCGCAGTGCGCCTGCGCTCAGTGCGCCTGCGCACAGGCCCAAGTTGGGTTCTCCGTGGGCTTCGCGTTAGTTATGGCGTCCGGCGTAGGTGGTGGCCTGTACGTCAGGGTCGGGCTGAAGTGATCTGCCGAGCGGCGAGGAAGCTGCCCTGACCCACGGACGCAACGTAGGTCCTGCCAGTAGTGTTCGAAGATGGCCCTGAACTACGTGACACTGTCCGCCGGCGATCGAGGGAACTGGGTGGCCCGCAGCTCCTCCCCAGCCGGCCTCGGCCCCTCGGCCTCAGCGTTGGCCATGGTCGCTGGAGACGGCTTCCTCGTGGGCAGACCTGAGCCTGGGCACGGGCCTCGGCGGGCGGTGCGACTGGGCGCCCCCAGCGAAGGCCGCCGAGTGCCTGGGGGCCCGACCCGCCTTCAAAAAGGCAGAAAGGTGAAGGGCGGGAGCCGAGTCCGCCCCCCGAGATTCGCTCCCTACCCGATCCCCAGGGCGCGCCCAGTCTGTTAAGTGCGCTTGGAAGGCCCTCGACTCGCATTTCAGCCTAAAACCAGTGCTTCCCGTTGCTCAGCTTGCAAACAAGGCCACTCTAATACCATTTCTTGGTGTAACAGCAGTTTTATTTTTTAAAAGGATACATTTTCATTTTAATATAAAAAATTATGTATGCGCTCTTAATACAGCCTAACTCAAAGAAAACTAAGTTAATCCAAATGTAGTCGGAAAGATCAGCTCGGGAAGGAAATAGAAGGGATTTTCTTTGTAGCTGGGCAGCAATTCTATAACTCGTCTTGTGATTACCTTTCCAGTGGTGTCTCACCGAGGTTACGTTCCAAACACCCCTAAGATCATTAGGGAAGTAGCGACGTTACGTTTATTTTAGTATTTATATATATTTAAAGCCTTAAATATTCATATTTCCCCACACTCTTATAAGCCTTTCCCACACTTTTAAAAACACAGTGTTCTTAACCATTTTCTAAACTCGTAAACCTACGTAATTTTAACATATGTATACTTTTCGGTACTGCAACATCCCACAATACAGCGAAAAATCCATGATAAATAATTTCGTTTTTTTCAATGTCTTTGGTACAGGGTCTCACAGTGCAGCTCAGATTTGTAGTGATCCTGTTCTCAGCCTCCCCAGCGCTGGGATTACAGATGTGTGCCACCACTCCTGGTCTGGGTGGCCAGCTCAATGCAGTGCAGCCTGTGGTGCCAGGACCACTGTCTGCACTTGCCTAAGCAGATGCTTAGTCCACTGAGCTATCTTGCCAGCCCTAGATTATTATTTTTTTTTTTAAATCCCACAAAACAATGACTCTGCAAAAGTTGAATTGTGTAATAGCAAAGGACTATTGTATATGAAACTTTTAATTCGAGCTTTTTTTCATAGCTTTCTTCCTCTTTACCTCAAACTCTTCATTGTATTGGGTTAGCGGAAAAAAAAAGAAATGCTCCATTTTGATAAACTGGCTTAGCCTTCCATTCATTTTTTTCCCCAGCACTTGACATGTTCCATCCTCTCCATGTTTTATATCTTAGGGAATACCTAAGACACCAAACTTCTGTGTTGGCCATTACTGATACCCCCACCAAAAAAACCTAAGCCTTAATAGTCTTTAAATTATTCCCTTTGCTAAATGGTATTGAAAGAGTTTTAAGTGCCAATTCTTTAAGCAAATAAGACTAGCTTTATTCCCAGTAGATTTTTGTCTGTGTAGGCTTTCTTAAAATAGCTATTATCACATTAGAAAAAGAGAAACCAGGCAGGGCATAGTGGTACATGTATGTAATCCAGCATGAGAGGCTGCAATGGAGGAGGTAGGCTCAAGTTCATGACCAACATGGGCTACAAAGTAAGCTCAAATCCAGCATGAGCTGCAGAGCAAGACTCTGTCTCAAAAAAACAAAAAAATAAACATAAATTGGAGAACTTCCATAACAGAGGTCTAGAAACCTGATTATAGGAAGGAAGGTTAAGAAAATAATATTAGCTTCTTATTGTATAATACTTGCCAGGCAATGTGTCTAGGAGACATTACACATTGTTTATTGAGGTTACTATGGATTCATTCTGAGCATGCTACTGCCTGTATTAGGTGAATGGGATAAAATAGTGAAAAAGATAGATAAGGACCCTGACTGTAATTAATGGAATGCTCTTATGTTATTCTCATATCCGTCCAGGACAAAGTTATACTATCATTTTTTTCTGATAAAAGATATGAAGTAAATTTTCCAAGGTCAGACAGCTACAAAATGGTAGAATGTTGCAGCCTTTCACTAAGGTTCCTCATTAGAGCCACACAGTACAAGTTATCTGAGTGACCATTTGCTCAGTTTTCCTGGCAGTAATATATAACTAATACTATTCCAGATACCTAAAAAATTAGCTAATAATACACAGTGAATGCCTTTGGCTGAGTATTATGAAAACTCATTGTTGAAAAGTAACTATAGGACTAGTGTGATAGCTCAGTAGACTAAGCACCTGCTTAGGCAAGCACAGGGACCAGCGTTCAATCACCAGCACTACGTGCTGCCCAGGCCCCCCATCCAGGTGTGCTGAGCTGGCCAATGAGTCGGCATGGTGGCACACACCTGTAATCCCAGTGCTGAGGAGGCTGAAAACAGGAGGATCACTACAAGTCTGATAAGACACCCTGTACCATGTACCGTGTAGTGACACCCTGTACCAAATACATAAAAAAACTACACAAATATATGGAGAGAGTTGGTTTTGTTGTTCATTTGAGACAGCATCTTGCTGTGTAGTTGAGGCTGGCCTTGAACTTGTGATCCTTCTATCTCAGCCTCTGGAGTCCTGGGATTACTGGCATGGGCCACCATGTCTGGTTACTATGGGTTTTAGATTGAACCAGAATAATAAAATTGAAGCTAAAAGTATGGAGAACTTTCTTAAGTTAGACATTTATTAAACATGTCTATTAGTGGAAAATAACACCTTGGGAGGTACAACATTAGTTATCAGAAAATTCAAATACAGACTGAGTTCTGTCAAAGATTTTGTCAAAGGAATTCTAATGGAAAGTAGGGCTGGATAACCAGGTGCGGTGGTGCATGCTGGTAATCCTACCACCTGGTAATTCCGCCACCGGAGAGTTGTGTGAGTAATAGCATCCCCTTTCCCTGGAGTGTCCTAGTTTGCTGCAGTAATCAACCTGTGCCGTCATTTCTTATTAGTCACTTTCCTGTAGCTGGGACAAAATACACCCACCATTCACAATTTAAGATATTGGCCCAGTTGGCTGCATATAGTCATCTTGGAGATGATTTAGCAATAAATTGTCTTTAGATCATTTTTCTTAGCTGGTCATGGAATGAGGCTGAGGTTTACAAATGAGGGAACAAAAATCTGACATAAGGCTACCCAGAAGTGGTCACATCAGGTGATCCGCACTTGTAACAGTAGCTGCTTAGGGGGGTGAGGCAGGAGGGTCTCAGTAAGTTCAAGGCTAGCCTGAGCTACACAGCTTGTTCACAGCCAGCCTGACCTATATAGCAAGACTCTCTCAAAGTAGTTGGAGGCCAGCCTGGACAATTTAGTGAGACTATCTCAATATACAGAATGGTTGGAGATGTAGCTCTGTGCTCCCTGAGTTTGAATGCCTAGTTGTTGTTTTTCTTCCCTAGTTTTTTGTTTTTTTTTTTTAAGCACAATAGAGAATGACTTTCTGACAGAGTTATCAAGAGTAGGGATTGGGTAAGTAATAGTATATTGTTAAAAAAATTAATATACTGTGCTTGTTTGGCAAAAGGAGACACTCCTCATAAATGTTCCATTATTTTAAGTCTAAATGAGTAGATCTAAGTTCTTGTTTTGACATCCAAGTTACAGTGTCAAGTCACCAAGGCTTATTGGAGAAGCAAAAACCAACATCTTTCCATGAAGTTACCTAAAGTAAACCATATTATTAAAAATCCACATAAATACACAAAATGAACTCTAATACCAGTGATATATTTTTAAATAAAAAATGTATTTACTTAGAAGCATTCAGGATGTCAACAAAACAGTTGACTTTTTTTCTTTTTGCAATTAAACAGTGGTATTCAGTTAACAATTATTTCATATAAGCTGCATCAGAGACAGCTGAAGATGAAAAACCTCCGTCCTCATATATAATTTGTGCTATGCACCAATGAGAACCTGCTTTAAATTTCCATGCCAACTTACAACCCCCACACTGTACCAGGCAAGGTTAGAGGCTATTGAAAATACCACTAGGATTGGGCTAGCTAAGGACACATTCAAAAAATAAATACACATTCAATCATGTGTTAACAACAACAACAAAAAAAATGGTACATTTTAAAAACGAATCTTACACAGCCTTATACTTCAATATTTTTCTTCAAAAGGAGTGAGTTATGGGGGGGTTAAATGCTTTATAGATGAAAAAACTGTGCTACAACCAACTTATTCATTTTCTTCATCCTCATCCTTTTCATCTTTTTTCATCCTCATCTTCCTTCTCTTCCTCCTCCTCTTCATTCTTTTTCTTCTTTCAGCTTTGACAACTACCTTTTTTGCTGCATCAGGTTTTCCTTTAGCCTGGTAAGCAGCAATGTCCTTTTCATACTTTTTCTTCAGCTTAGCAGCCTTCTCATATGGCTGCTTGTCATCTGCTGCAGTTTTATTCCACATTTCTTCAAGCTTTTTTTTTTTTTTTGCGACATCACCAGTGGAGAAGCCAGGATGTTCTCCTTTGATTTTTGAGCGATACTCAGAACAAAAAAGGCTGAAGGAGGCTTCTTGGGTGCATTGGGATCCTAGAACTTTTTTGTTTCTTTTAAAATTTTATTTTGTGTTGGGGGGGGGCCAGCTCAGCCCACCAGGGGGCGGGGCTGGCTGGCATGTGGTGCTGGGGGATGGAACCGCGGTCCCTGTGCTTTGCCAAGCTTGTTCTAAGTAGGTGCTTTAGACCACTGAGCCATCTCACCAGCCCTGTTTCTTCTTTAGGAGGAATGTAAGTTTTCATTTATCTTTCATAACGGGCCTTGTCCACTTTTGCCATGTCTTCAAATTTCCCTCTTTAGCAGACGTGGTCTCTCACCTCTCTGAGCACTTAGAAAACTCCAAGAAGTTAACAGAAGCATCTGGACGCTGCTTGTGCTCCTCAGCAAATTTGCACAAAGAATCCATATGATGACATTTTGCCTCTCAACATCTTAGGATCTCCTTTGCCCGTGCTTGTTTTCTTCAGTGAGGTACACAGTTGCCCAGTGCCCGTCCAGCTCTCACTTGCTCCAGCACTGTCTTCGTGATAATTATCAATGGTAATACTGCCATAATGAATTCTAAAAGTAGTTCAAAAAATCACTCCATGCTTCTTAAAAAGCTACTTGTAATTTACTGGCATGTTTCCCTTTGTATGAGGGGCATTGCTCTTATTCATTGTATTGTCCTGAACTACTGGCTAGCATGGCATGAAGTAGACTCTCTTAGGATGTTTAAGTTTTCTACTCATCCCCTCAACTCT